AATTTACTTTTTTTAATAAAATTCACGAAGTCAAAATTTTATTTAAATAGACCGGAAAAACACAACTTATGTCAAAAATTGGGTCTTTTGCATTTACGTTTTTTTTTCTTTTTTTTGGTAAAAAATCACTTATGTTCATATGATTTTGCTGAAATTTCTTTAAATCTCTCTTTGGTTATTTTTGTACGACAAACTGTTCTCTTGTTCTCAAGAAAAACGTTTTTATAGTTTTTTTTATTACCGTTTTCACTTTGTTTCTAATATTCACCCAAAGATAAATCCTCTAAATTTTTGTCCATAAAGGATATATCCATAAAAACACCGATAAAATCTCAAAACTTACAACTACTCGAAATTTTCAAAATGTTTCAATTTTAAAATAAGTTGGGGTTTTTACCCAAGCTCTTCAGTTTTGCGCTAGTCCCAGTTTAAAAATTGTTTTTTTTTTGGGAAAAAAAAGAAAAACAATAGTTGGTATAATCAGATTTTTATTATAAACTTTTTAAACAGTACTAAATTACCAATGTCCATAAAAACACCCATGACATCTGGAATACCCATCATAAGTTTGATAAAAATCGTGCCCACAGTAAGAACAATCAACTTGGTGTGAAACACACTGCCCTAAATGGCACTTTTCTCGATCCCAAGTTTCTTTTTTGTAACACCCTACGCCACATGGGTTGCGAGGAACGTACCCATAACTACCATGGCACCCATGACACGTTCGATGGTACGGGTTGCATCCATAACTCACACATGGGATAATAATAATACAACACTTTTTTTTATCAGGTTTGACGGTTGTTGTTGTTGGTGTTACTGGTGTTGTAGTATTGACTGGTACTAGTACCGTCACGGGTACTATTTTTGGTACTATTATTGTTCTAGTTTCTGGTGTTTGAAGTGGTGATTGAGTGTTATCATTATCAATGTTGTTGTCGATGGATTTATTAATCTTGATATTGACGTTCATGGTGTTTATGTTGTTAATAACATTTGACGAAGTGACGTTCATGTCCATTCTGCGTTGTTCTTCAAGGATACGTTCTGGTCGTGGAGTTATTTCTGTTGGTGTCTGTGTTCTTGTTGTTGCTTCTGTAGGAGAAGTGGGCGTTGTAGAACTAGTTGTCGGGCAAGGTGTTGTTGTATAGTTGCAACAACTAACTTGGCATTGATTTACGCAAACAACAGTTGTACATTGTTGGTGACAACTGTTACAACTGTTACAGCAAGCATAAATAACGGATAAGTTTGCCAAAATTGTTACAAACAAAACACAAGTTTTCTACAAAGAAAAACGTGAAACCAATTTTGTTACCTTGCTCAACTACTCACCATGGTCGAAGTTATTCGTGTCAAAGATGACAATAAATTGTTGCAAAATTACAAGTTTGTTGTGATAACATTTTGAATTTAAAAATTAAAATGGCGACTTAACTTTACGATAACCTAATCTATGTTACATAAGAGCACACTTTTATTCTACAAGATAAAAACAACCACGACACTTCTTGTAATCTTTGTAAGTCTTGTAAAAATCGGTTGTGCAATTTGTACAGTCTATTTCCGTTGTGGTACAACAAGTTTCCTTAACCCAAACAGGTCTTTTCTGGCACTTGCCCTTACATGGGTCTTTTGCTTGGTACCCAAACTTACCTTTACAACCCTTGCAACTTACAAAATATGGGTTACAGTTTGGTGTAACACAAGGAATTACAATAACACAACAAGTGGTACTATTTTTCGATGTGGAACAATTCTGGTGGCAAAAATGGTATGTTGGGTACCATGTAGGGCAACAGCAATCAAATGTATCATAGCAAGCATAGACAATGTAGAAAAAACATGTTATAAAAATGATTAAATTAGTACAACTCTAGAAAAAAAATTTGTTTCTGTTAATTATCTTGTTAAGACTTACCATGGCCTTTATTTGTTGAAAGTGTCAAAAGAGACTGGGAAAGAAAATACGACCTTTACATTTATTGATAACATTTTATAAAAATCTTATGATTCTAGATGTCGCTGTGATTCTTACTCATTGGAAATGGGGAAATGATTATCAGCTTAGAAAGTGTCAATTTTTCTTTAATATTACAAAAAAACAAATTACAAATTGAAGAGCTTTACAATTGCTGTTTTAAATAAAGGACTTTTAATTTTTTTCTTTATTTTTATTATACATTTCATGTTGTCGTACTTATTTAAAGTTTTTATGCTCTTATTTTTTAATATTTATTAGGAATTTTGCATTCTTTCCGACGTCAATCGATTTTTTGAAACATTTTACATAATTTTAGTATAAAACACTAATTAATTTCAATAGATTTTTGACAAAATTGATAAAAAAAATAAATGTTTTTGTGTTATACGAGATTTTTACGTCTAGAAAATCATATTTTTTGCGATCTGCAGTTGATTAATCATTTTCAAGATTTTTTTTTAAATTTAGAAGTTTAATTTTCGTTGAGAGGCCGCTAACTATAGGATTAGTTGTACAAATTTTTAAAATTTAATTGTAAATGCTTGGAGTTAAAAGTATTTGAAATTACTTAATTATTTCAGAATTGTTTGGAATTACTCGAATTTTTTTGGCATTACTAGAAATTATCGGAGAATTTTTTGAAACTATCTAAAAAATCACAGCAATTATCGCTTGTATTGGTATTATTTTTCAAAGTGGAACAATTCTAGTGACAAAAATGGTATGTTGGGTACCATGGGCGCAACAGCAATCAAATGTATCATAGCAAGCATATAGACAATGTAGAAAAAAACATATTACAAAAGTGATTAAATGAGTACAACTCTAAAAAAAATATGTTTTTGTTAATTATTTCGTTAAGACTCACCATGGCCTTTATTTGTTGAAAGTGTCTTGCAAAATAGACTGGGAGAGAAAATACGACCTTTACATTTATTGATAACATTTTATAAAAAATTTTACGATTATCAGTTTAGAAAGTGTCAATTTTTTTCTTTAATTTTACAAAAAACAAATTATTTTTGGAAACAACCATGACATTGGGAGTACCCATGGTACGTCTGATAATAATTATCACTGCAAGAACTACATTGTGACGTTTGATGTTTATAACATCCTCCTCCTCCACAGGGGTTGATGGGTAAATACCCATACTTGCTGTGACAACCACCACAACGAGTGTGATAAGGGTTGCAACCCTGGTAAGCACAAGGAATGATAACAACACAGCATTGGGGCGGCGGTGGCGGCGGTGGTGGTGGTGGTAAACACTGGTGGTGATAACCATGGACTGGAGGATGTCCTGGCGGCATTCTAGGTATTTGGGTTGTGGTCTCACATGGTACTTTAACAGGAACTTTGACAACACTGGTTCCAATGGTTCCGGTACCGCCCCCTCCTTGATTCGAAATGTTGTTGATGACATTACTATCAACATTGATGGACATATTGACAATGTTTTGGTTGTTGATTACGTTTTCTGAGTCAACATTGACATGGATATCCTCATCTTTTGATGAACTTTCTAACTCTGTTGTTTTCTCCCGATCTCTTCTTGTTTCCACCTCTTTAGTTGTAGTACAACAATCGCGTTTGTGACTGTTGCAGCAATGGGATGTTTTCTCATGACAACAACTTTGTTGACAGCTTGCAACACATGGCGTGGTGGTGCATTGTTGTTGACAGGAAGAACAACAATTGGAACAACCCGAAGATGAACAACTGCCACAGCAAGAGCTGGATTGATGTTGACAGCAGTTTTGTTGACACGATTGGAAACACGGGGTTGTTGTACATTGTTGTTGACAAGAGGAACAACAACTGGAACAACTCGAAGTTGAGCAATTGTTGCAACAGCCATCGGAATGGAGCACACTAATCGTCACGAGAATTATTAAAATGACGAACGTTTTCTAGAAAAAAATTCTTTTCAATTTGAATGGTAGTTATTTACTCACCATTTCGTCAACTCTTCTCGTGGTACAATAAGTTAAACCGCTCGAAGAGCCTTCATTATACTTAGATAACATTGCGTGAAAAATCCTGCCTAATGACCCGTCAGAGATATGTGGGTTATTATTGTCAATGTCGCATCTAATCATCCGACTTAGAAAAAAACCCTTCAATTCAACTCAACACAAACAAGAAACAAATTTGAAATCGATCATTTGCTAAATAAATAATACTTTACCGAGCAAATAAAGTAAAATAATCTTTTTGTTTGCGTCTTGCTACCCAATTTCCCTTATTTATCATACCGCTTTATCGACGAATAATATACAGGGTGCTGCATTTTGGATGTCCGAATGGGGAATCTCCGAAACTAAGATGTTTAGCCAAAAACGAGTGCTCATTTTTTGAGAAAATAATATTGGTTAAAACGGCATTCCGCTATTTACTTTTGTTTTTGACTTACAAACAAAAGTTGACATTTTGGGGAAATCTAAAAAAATTCATATCTTTGTTATTATAGAAAATACGGATTTGAAATAAAGACATTATACAGGCACTTTTTACGAGAAATTTAATAATGTAGTTAACATTTTTTTTTCAGTTATTGGTTTAGCCGTAATAACGGCTTGTATTTTTTTAAATGGAAATCATGGGTGGCTATGGCAATTTTGAAAAGCTTTTTTGATGAAAAAAAGGCGCCTACGATTGAAACAGGGGCGTCTTTTTTTATTGAAACATTGTGACCATCATTCCAAAAATAGTCTAAATAAATTCTTTTTAAAATTTAAACAGTTTGTCTAACAGCACAACGCTGCAATATTGCACAATTTTCTTTTACTAAAAAACTATTTCACTCAGGTATTTTTCGTATCTAGGAAAGATATTGTCACCCGCATAAAATAAAAAACTGTAAAGTTTACATAATTTTGTTATTCCAATACGATACGACCGAAAGGTATCTAATGATTTCAATGAATTTTTTTAATCTTTGACTTTTTAACTTTAATCGTTCAAATTTCACAGAACAAACAACATTGAAAATTGATTTTTTTGTTGCTACCGTTTCCAATAATTGAATATTACTTGGACATTTTCTGTATCCTAGGATATTTGCAATGTTGCAACATTGATAAATTTTTTTGGAGCCAAGAAATGGTATCCTATCATCTTCAATAATGTTTATTTCAATAGATTTTTTACTAGACAAAAATTATTTTAATACTGTTAATTATATAGATTTCTCTTTTCTAAAAAGGAAAGTCTACATATATCTTACTGATAAGAGCACAAATCCAATTTTGGTCTTCAAATTCGTCTTTAATAAAAGATCACTTTTAACGTGTGGGTTAACAAGGGCGCCTTTTATTCATCATACTGTATATTTGTTACAAAATGTTTTTTTTTTAATTATATTATATACTTAACAAATAAAATATAGATTTTGTTTCATAATAGTTGGCCATGGAAAAACTATTATACTACAAATGTGATGAAAAAATAGATAAAATTAGAAAATTTTTAAAAATACGATACGTTAGAAGTATTGAACAAATATGAGAGCCTCAAAACAAAATTATTACATATTTTTAAAAAATCCAAAAATAGGAAAAACAAATGTGTCAACAGTCAACATAATTAGAAAAACATTTTTTTGGTGATCTAATGGAGGTAGGATAACATTTCACATTGACGGAATTTGGATATTTGAATAGTCATATCGTCATTTTTGTATCATATACATAAAATATATTTTATTGAAGAATTAAAGCGGCTTTTTTTACAACACTCTATGTATCACTTGAAGTTACAATGGAAATATTAACTTGTTTAAAAACAAAGAAATGTTATTAGTCGCCAATAAGTTGATTTACTATTTATTTTGCATTTTTTTTTCATTTTTTATTACTTACAAAACTCTTTCATTAGTGACACTGGTTGAATAATATAGTTTAAATCCTTTTAGTTGAAGATGCAACATTTTTTCATGGCCAACTGCGAACAAAAATCAAAGATAATTTTTTGCTAAAAATGTTTTATAATAATTTGTTACAAATATATATTTTTAGTTAAGAAAAAAACAAGCTTTTTAAAAATGACATAGCCACCTGTGATTCCCATTTAAAAAATACAAATTTATTTTATTACGACTAAACAAATAACTGAAAAAAATTGTTAACTACATTATTAAATTCTACGTAAAAAAGTGCCTGTATAATGTTTTCTGTGTCTTCTATAATAACGAAGATATGATTTTTTTTAGATTTCGCTAAAATGTCAATTATTGTCTATAAGTCGAAAACAAGAGACGATAGCTGGATGCGGTTTTAACCAATGTTATTTTCTTAAAAAATGAGCCCCAGAATGTATTACTCGTTTGGGGCTAAATCTTTTAGTTTCGGAGATTCCCTATTCGGACATCCAAAATGCAGCACCCTGTACATTATGAACATTGAAAATAAATTTTGATTAATTTTATTTTTTCCTTAATTTCAGTTTTCTGAACAAATTTTTAAGAACTAGTAGATTTTTCTATTATTAATTTTGAAAAACATGTTTTTCTTTTATTTTGCTTGATTTATTTTGTTTTTCTGTTGATTTTTTGGACAAACTAGTGAATATTTCTGTTACCAATTTAGAAAAACATGTTTTTGTTTGTTTTTTTTATTTGGAGATTTTAATTAATTTTATTTTTTCGTTAATTTCAGTTTTCTGAACAAATTTTTAAGAACTAGTAGATTTTTCTATTATTAATTTTGAAAAACATGTTTTTCTTTTATTTTGCTTGATTTATTTTGTTTTTCTGTTGATTTTTTGGACAAACTAGTGAATATTTCTGTTACCAATTTAGAAAAACATGTTTTTGTTTGTTTTTTTTATTTGGAGATTTTAATTAATTTTATTTTTTCGTTAATTTCAGTTTTCTGAACAAATTTTTAAGAACTAGTAGATTTTT